CCCATTTTTACGAAAGTAGTCTAATACATCTCAGGGATGAAGGCTCTAAGTCTTCTGATTTCCAACCCAGGATCCTGTCCACTCCACAACCGCTGCAGGTGGCTGAATAAAGTGATAACACTGCAGGTGGCTGAATAAAGTGATAACACTGGCACCTTCTCAGGGTAGAACAGCGCTGCAGTCAATTGAGTTCCCACTTTTTAAAGTGATTTCTACTTTTCCCACCTCTGATTTTAAAATAAATTTTAATGAGAAGAAAAAAAAAAAACAATCTCCTGCTAATGCCATTTGGTAAGCAGATAATTGTCATCTTTAAATAAGGGTGTAACTGCAGCACCTGGTAGGCACCCAGGTCTGTAGTTAAAGATGCCAAGCTGACTCAAAAGCTGGCATTTTCCTAAACCAGGCAGTACTGGGTAACTGGAGAATAAACTGTGCAGCATGTCTAATCACAGAGCACAGGCTACAAGCCAGGTCATGTTCCAACATACGTGTCGTAAGGTATTTTACATTCCTTTAAGGCTCAGCAGGAGAGGAAAACCTAGAAGATTTAACTGATGTCTCTTAAGGCAATGTATCGGCTGCAGTTTATTTTTAGCAGGTAAGCAAAGCCCCCATTTTATGTAATGTTGAGATTTCTCACCACTAAAATGAATTATATAGTCATACTAAATTGATAACTAGGCTCAAACGAATATGCTGATATAGGTGAACAGATATGTTGTTATGATACAACACAGAGAATGTCTGTTTCTCAGTGTCTGTCTTTGTTAAGGAGGTTTTCATTCCCTGGGTGAAAACCAGCGAGGATAAGAGCTGTGAAATATGACCTTGCAATGGCAGAATTTTAATGCATGGTGTATGTGACTGAAGCAATGCATGGCACCCTCTCCTTCTTTATTGCTACGTATATTAGAGTATTTATGTAGTGCTGGTTCTCATCTAAATGTTGGGGTCTTCTCTAAGTCAAATAGCAGCTCACTAAAGCTCTATTTCTTAAAGAAGCCAGATAAAATTTTAATTAAAGGTAAAGCTTCTTGCTAAAATACTAATGTCAATGAAAATGTGAAAGGCTACCTAAAAACAGGCCAAACACATTCTTTTACATTTTCCCAATCCAAGTAATAGTTTTGCCACATATTTGAGCATTTTTTGACTTACAGAAAAAAAGCATTATTATGTCCTGATATGTTAAATAATTTTTTTCTCTGACCTTTTCTCCCTCTAGTTTTGCTAGTAGGAGACATTTCTTTCCCTTACCAATTCTGAAATGTGTAGTTTAAACTCTTTATTCAGATTATTGGTCTCTTTTCTAAAGCAACATTATTTTCTGCTAATTTTTAAAGATCCATGTGGCCTTTTCTTCTCTTCTCTTTTAATGAACCCTTCTTTGCTAAGTATGAGAAGTCTTCTGCTTCTTTTCACTGGAAAATTTGGTCTCAGTAGCTTTTGCAATTCTGTCCCGTGTGAATAGTACAGAAGAGAATAAGGAAGGTGGCGCAATAAAGAGGATATTTTAGATAGAGGATAACAGTGAGTTCTCACTGTCCTGTGGCAGTTGAAGTAAATGTCAATCTCCTTGTGCTTGATTTCATTTATTTCCTGTCTCACTAGTTTATAAAAGCCTGACTCTTTTCTCCTCCACAACAGTCAAGTTATGGTCATGTGAATATAGAACAGTAGTCATTTGTTTTAATATCAACTTTTTTCTGGTTTCCCTGGATGGTGAAGTTTTATGACTTTCATCTATGAACTTAAATTTAAAATTATAATATTAGCCTATCCTACAACCCATCCTAATACTGATTTCTCCAATGCAAAGTTCTGGAAATACAATCCCTTTAGCACAATTATCATGTTTAAAAACTTACATCTGAAAATAGGCAAAATACTTTATAAGACTAACAAATTTAAAGTGAGAAGATAACTGGAAAGACGAATGTGATTTTCTGTATCTGAATCTAGAATTAACATTCAGTACCTTATTTTCGGTGCTAAATAGGGTTTTTCAAGGGAGATTCAAACTAACAGAACTAGATGTTTTATTAGATGTATATTTCATAGGGAGGTGAGAGAAACCTTTCAGTAGCAAAGATTAGAAACGTTTAGATCCATTCTCATCACTGCTACAAACTCAATAGATGACTTGAAGCAACTTTGGGCCTCAATTCCCTCAACTGCAAAATAAGAGTACTGCTAACTTCAGTATTTCATATTTCTATTACATAACTGGACAGGAAAATATCCTAGCTAGCACAAGGAAAGGCAACTGCTTATCGTGAGTGGCAACTTAAAATTGTGTCCCATTGATTTGTTTAGAAAACTCACTGTTCGGTTAGGGTAATGACCTTTTTGAGGAAAAAAAAACATTTTCCTTAAACATTTTTCTCTTCAGTATAATAAAAATTGTTCAGCACCAACATTATCTACTGATGACAACAACCTATTTGCCACTAGCAAGTTTCTTTAAAACAATGCCTTGTGATTTAAACCCATTACCTACTGTGAATGCTCCAAGTAGGCACTGATTTGGGGGGTTATAAGTAATATGGCTGTATAGATTAAATCAGTTCAGCTTATGCCTTGTCTACATTGCTTTTATTTCTTTAAGTGCCTCTATTATCATAGACCCCCAATTCACATTTTTAAGTCACTAAACAAAGAACTATCAAGCATTTCACTTTTAACCTGAAATTTTTAAAAAAAGAAAACTAAGTCCCAAATGTATTTATGTATTAATATATAGTATGTATGTATAAATCTGAGTTTTAAAGTATTATTTATATGTAAAAATCATAGACTTCCCATGTGTAAAGCAGTAGACGCAAGAAGATTAAAAACCAATGGATGGTCCTTTTGGATTCTCTGTTTGGAGGCATATAAGGAGAATGTTCTTATCCACAAAGTGAATTTCTTAGTATAATTCTATACAAAATTGATAGTTTTTTCCAAAAACATCAAAGAAAAGAAATGTATAGGTAGAAAGACCTATAGCAATAATCATTTTGTGCAGAGGTTTTTAAATGGGTATCTTTATTTCTAGAGATTATCTGTGGGCTCCTCAAAATTGTATCTAATGTGTTGTCTGTCATAATATGCATTTTTAATCAAGTTCTCAAAAAGATACATTAACCCAAAAAGATGAAGAATTACTGATTTAGTCCAAATAAGAAATCTTAGTCTAAGCCAGGGAAGTAATTTGCCATAATCAGATACTCCTGGAACCCAAATTCTGAAGGCTGCTCATGCTAGTTTGCACTCAAATGCTAATCCTTGACAAGTAGATTGTGTTTCTTAAACTTGCATCATATTGTGAACACATATTACTGGTTTATTTGCTGCAAAGGAAAAGTGAACTTATAGAAATTTCAAGGACACCATTTCAATTTTAATATTTATTGCCACTAAAATTAGTGATTTAAGACTTGTATGACAAGAATTATCCCCAGAGAAAGAATCCTTCAAAACAAAACAAAAACTCTCTTAAACATGTATGATGAAGGCCTAATTTCATTTCAATCTACAGAAGCAAAAATTACCTGTGTTTAATACTTAACGTTTGAACATCTATTGGAACTTAAAATGGGCAAGGAGGCTCATCTAGAATAGCAGACCTGCTCTGAAATATCATCTTTATTCTTCGAAAAATCTGCTGTTTATTGAAATTAGGTGTGCTAATATAATCACATAAATAAACTATGATCAGTAAAATGTCAGTGTTGCACATTAAGCCTGGACTAACTCAAGCTTCTTTTTACTAGTTCTTTCTGTTATGTTTTTTCATGAAAATTCTTTTTAACCTAGAAAGTGTTGGCAAGATGCACTGGTTATTAAATACGCCTTCAGAGCTACATCTGCAGGAGCATTGCACATTTCCCATCACCTTTTCTGACTCACCTTCTTTCCACAGAAGGGAGAAGAATGAATTCCAAGGAGAGAAAGAAATATGTACAAGTAAATATGCTTACGGTCATTCAATGCTGAATGGGTTAGCATGCTTGATTGCTATTGGTGAATTATACCAAAAAATGACAGTAGCATCTATCATATTATATGTGGCAAGGCAAGTCACACTGCTGATTTCAGCAATGTGTTATATTTAACAGCAATTGATAAATACCTTTTAAACAAAATCACTAAATTATATGAATACCTTAATTCTTAAGGTAGTAATGTGGGTTTTTCTTCTGAACCAAGAATATAATAGGCATGGAGTATAAACTGATGGTATCCCACAACGTGGTCTCAACAGTGACTTTAAACCCCATAATTCCCTATGGAAATTCAGGATACCCAACAGTGCAACAATAATATTCTTGATTCTGAACTTAAATTTGAATAACTAGTGATGTATTTTCTATTATATAGAAAGTAAAATACAGGTTTTACTATTCAGTAGTGTAACTACGTTGTCAATGTCTCCATCGCAAACCAATGCATGACAAGGGAGAGAAATCTTATATCTCAGTGCCTATTGATGACATGATGCCCTTTGTTCTCAAAGTGCAAATTAAACAAAGCATCTTAAGAGGCTATGATCTAAAACAAACTGTTCCTGGGCAAAAGTGGGGGGAAAAATAAAAGCTAAAATGCTGAAAAAGGGAAAAAAAGTTATTAGCATATATGTCCCTTTATAATTTATAGTAATATTATCATTATTATGCAATAACAATAGATTAAATAATTTGAAGATGAAAAGGACCTATTAAATCATCATGTCTAATGCATGCTAAGGGAGGGCATATTTCCCTTGAGGAAAAGGAAGAAAGAAAAATATAAAAACAGATACTATATTAACATCTGCAGATGGTTCAATCAGCATCTTGTCTATAGACAACAAACAGAGGTTTAACACAAGTAATGAGGAAGATTAGATATTGACACAAACTACCCGTATCAATACAGAGTCCTGTGCTATATTTTTAAACATTTAATATATTTGCCTGGAGCTTTTCCAAACTAAAGCTAATCTGTTTATACACAACATAGAAAATATAATCTGAGTTTCAATGAATTTTTAATTTTGTTCAATCTTGCATTGGTTCAACCAAAAAACAATTTAAAGAGGACCGTGGCTTTCAGCCTCAGAGTGAGCAAGTTCAGCTCCTCACTAGGGAGTTCTTGAATCTGCCATAAAAATCAACAGTGTGGATCGAATAGTTTTCTTTTAATTTGAAAATTGAAAAGTGAATCATCACATCAAATATTCTTCAGGGCCTCTTTAGTTTCCAGATTAAACATGTAATATGACCTGTCATCTTGCCACATTTTCTGCATTTCCATTTTAAATAATCATAAATAAGACAACCTTGCTACTCTTTGACACAACACAGCTGTTTGATTCAGCTGTGTTTCAAAGTCTTAGAAATTGCACTCATTCCTTCTTTAAACTCCGGGTTCATGGCAAAGGTTTTCAGCTGAAAGATTCTTTATTGTATTCAAATCTTGTCCCATATGAGTTGTTTTGGTTACTCAGTTTATGAAGAGTCTTGGAAATTGAACTGGGTCCACAACAGAAAACACCAACTGTTTTCCTGGGAAGAGAGGGGAGGAAATGGAAAATTAGGTGCAAAGTTAGGCAGAGCATGACAAGAAGCATGCTTTAGAAGCATGGTTTAAGGTATTAACAAAGTTAATGTCTTGCTGCTTTACATATGGAAAAAAATTTTCCAATTATTTCCAAGTGTAAATGACCACCAAGAAAACATTTTATTTACCTTATGCTTTTCATGCTAGAATTCAAGATAATTCAAAGAATGTTACTATGAGCACAAATTTGCCTATTATCAGACAGAGATGGATCAGTTTGCCTTATTAGTATTTTCAATACATGCCATTGGTCAACCAGAAACTATGTCAAGTGCAGCAATGGATAGATGTGAATTGCTAAACAACTGACATCTGAACAGATATCTAGCCCACACTGAACCATGTCAATTCTTTTTTTATTAGATATTTTATATACATTTTTCTAAAGTTTACACATGGATTTGCATGAGCAGTGATGAATGAAGAAAGAGAGAGAAAAGGTATTACCGGTTTGAAAGAATAATTTTAAGTGAATAATTTATATCCACATTGAAACAAAAAATATATTAATCTGGATGCATTTTCTTTTTTATTTATGCATTACAAAATTGTAAAAAGAAAAAAAAAGGCAAGCAGCTTTTACTCTTCTGTAACATCAAATTTAAGTAGCTAAATAATACATATTCCTAACAAATAGACTAAATAAATCCCAGGAAATGAATAGTATTTCAAATTAATCTTCCTCCAAAGTTTGTTGATTTGCATTGAATTCTTCCTAGGATATGAAAATAATTAACATTTCACATCATAGACAAATACAATGTCTTAATTATCTCAGAATAATTGGTGGTGAATAAAAGATAGTGAATCCATTTAAATGAGTACCAAAAATTTATAATAAATACTGAAAAAATTATCTTGTTAAAACATTTTACCTTGAAAGATGAAACAAAGAACTATGAAAATCAAACTTTTACTTGCAGCCATGATAGAGTAATTTATCCTTTTTTGAAAAACTTTAAAAAAGCAAACAAAATATTTGAAACAGGTATTTTCAGACACTGGACAAAAGGCAGCACAGAAATATGATTTCTGGAAAAGAAAAAAGAAAAGAAAAGAAAAGAAAAGAAAAGAAAAGAAAAGAAAAGAAAAGAAAAGAAAAGAAAAGAAAAGAAAAAAGAACCAAGCTAAGTCCATCAATTGTCTCCACTGATTGCCTGGAGTCAATGACAGGCTGCATCACAGATGGGAACTCTAGCTCACTAGTGTCTCACTCAGTTGAGGATACAAACAATGGAGTTCATGGAGGCCAAAACAGCTAGAATTTGTGGAATAGAATATAGAAGGGAAGGGAGATCCACAGAGAGAAGCTCTGTAGATCTGAAGAAGAGTATCCTCAAGTCTTTGGCTGACTGATGATCTGCTCATGTAAGAAAGAAAAATATATGAATGTAGGTAGAGAATCAATAGACCAAACAAAAACAGAAGTTTACACAGGACTGCAAATAATTTATATTCCTAGCAATTGGAATGGCAAGACCTATAATATAGGGGAGAGAATAGGTAGTATTCTTAGAAAGGTATCACCTTATTTGAAAGCGGCAGAGGAGATGTTGGTAAAATTAGCCTTAGACTGAAAGCTGCTCTGGAACTGTACTAACAAACCTTAATAGCAAACCTTGAAAAGATCAAACTGACCCCAAGTAAAATAATTGCATGCCAGAGCTAGTCTAACACTATGGAAAAGAATAAATCAAAATTGGCATCTAATATTTAAACTTAGAAATGTAAAGCATTCAATCAAAAATTACCAAAAATACAAAGAGTAAGACAATATGAACTATAATTAGGAGTGCTATTGGCTGACTTGGGTCCCTCAAATTTATATATTGAAGTCCTAATCCCCAGTACCTCAGGATGTGACTAGATTTGGAGACAGTGCCATTTCTAACAAGTTTTTAATTGACGCTGGTCCAAGGAATGCAGTTTGGGAACCAATGGCCCAAAGCATTTACTAAAGGGAGGGGGGCATAGGCAATATAAGTAACCTTAACACTTGTACCCCCATAATATGCTAAAATAAAAACAAGAAAACAACAAAAAACAAAAACATTTTTAAAAAATGGCACACACAAATACAGAGGTATGGCTAATATGCTAATATTGGAGAAAAAATAGAATCATAAAAAATATTCAATGAATCCAAAGGAAGGTAGAAAACAAAAGTAAAAAACCCAAAGAACAAATGAGATAAGTAGAAAGCAACAGTAAATTGCTAGATTTAAACCCAATCATATTTTATTAAACTAATATAAATGGTCTAAATACTACAACTAAAAATCTTCAATATACGTGCAACAAAAACTGATAGAACTGCAAAGACAGATAAATCCAGAATTATAGTTGATAATTTCAACACTCCTCTCTCAGTAATTGATACAACAAACAGACAGAAATTCAGTTAAGTGTATTGAATACTTGAATATCACTATCAACCAATTGGAACTAATTGACTTTTATTGAATGCTCTACCCAATAATGATGGAATATATTAACAGGATCTTTTCACACGCATGTGGAAAATTCAGCAAGACAGATCACATTCTGGGCAATAAAAATGTATCAATAAATTTTAACTAATTAAAATCTCAAGGAGTACGTTTTTTGATCAAATTCCAGTTGAACTGGAAATCAAGAACAAAAAGATACCTGGAAAATTCTTACATATTTGGAAATTAAACAACCCACTTTTTTCTTTTTAGAAAAAAGACATACAAATTTATTTTATATGTATTCACAGGAACCTCAAGAATGAAGATTCAACTTCCCAGTGAGGTTTGGAAGCTTCTGTGCCTTTCTGGTAAAACGAGTTATGGGCGGGGGTAAAAGAAGAATTCTTAAACAACATACTTCTAAATAATCCATGGGTCAAAGAAAAAAATAACATGGAAAACTATAAATACTTTGAACTGGATAAAAATGAAAACAAAACTTACAATTTGTAAGATGTAGCTAAAGCAGTGTTTAGAGGAAAATTTGTAGTATTAAAGATTTTCATTAGGAAAATAAAGGTCTAAAATCAATGACCTAAGATCTACTTTAAAAAATTAGTAAAAGAAGAGATAATGAAATCCAAAATGAGAAGGAATAAAATAAGAAAGAAATATGAAAATAAATCATCTTGTACTTAATAAAATTTGAATTACTACTAAAATCATAGTGTGACTTTCATTAAAATAAAAAGAGATTGAGTCATTTGTTTCTTCATATAAATTCTCTGTCAACACTGCATTATGGCCATAAGATACTATTATTTTCTTGCTTGCCTTTTACTCAATCTCTTTTTATATGAAAGGCAATTATAGAGTTAGCTTTGCAAGTTTTCCAGATTTTCTAAAGGCATCTCTTAAATACTTGATAGGCAAATCATTATTTTGAAAGCACCCAGGATATCACGTGGTTTTTGTTTTGCTACATTTTATTTACAATCGTTAACTAGTTTAATTCTATGATAACTTTTTGTGTGATTTGAGGAGTGCCCAATGTCACTTTCACTAACTTAATGAAATCCTAACACTTTTTTCAAGGTCTACAATTATTCTTTGCAATCCACTTGTACAAAGTTTGCATTAGATTGCTGCAATCTAACAATTATCTGGAGATTTGTCTACAAAAACTTTGATGAGATGGGTGGAGATAGATAGGCTCAGAGATAAGCAGAACATGATATTTGGGGGTTAATGCTGGGAAACAGCTCCACAAATGTTCAATATATTTGTGTATATTTTCCTATTCTATCAATACTTGCTTTTCCAGTAGATCTGAAGTGTGGGATCTCATATAATAATCAAAACTTATTCTCTCCATTTGAACTTATTGACTCTTTGTATTATAGGTCCTGAAGATCTGAGTGACTTGACCCACAGACACAAGAACAAATGTGAGAGGGACCAAACCTAGGTGTTCTTAATATGTATTGTTGTGAAAACACTACAAGCCAATAAAATAAAGATACAGTCTCAATTTCACCCAATCCCAGAGTACTAATTGTCTACTAAAAAGGCCACATAGATGTTCAACCTTTCTTTCTCCCTTTACATAATACATAAACTCAACAACTTAAAATATGATATACATTTTTTATAATAAACAGGAAACTAAATATTAGTTAGATATAATAAATTTCTGACAAGTTATTATATACTAAATGGTTTAAAAAGTAATATTTAGAATATCTCTTTATGTTTTGGAAGAATTAGTTATTGCTGCTTTTAGTATTTCATAGTTAACAATCTGCTGTAACATACATAGAGAACATAAGAGTTTTTTTTGCAACACCTCCCTCACTTCCCCCCAAGAGGGACATAGAAAATAAGATTGCCACTTTTTTTATTTGGGACAAGCTGAAAATGCCATGCTGCAAAGCACAATGAACTTTCAGTAAGGAGGTCTGTGTTTGGGTCTGAATTTTGAGCTTTTGATAAATCATTATATTTGTGGGTACTAGCTTCTTCATTTCGAAAATAATAGTGAGGGTAGAGTGACTTAAAAAGCTCCTTCACTCTCCATGATCATGTAATACCATTACATAATACATTTTGTTTATTTAAAAAGTGCCATGAAAGAAAGCATACACTCTTATATACCTGCGGAAAATAAATTGCTTCAACCTTTGGTTTTGGTAGAGCAGAACCTAAACATGCATATCCTTCGGGTCAACAATTACACTTCAAAGATCCTAATCAACCACAATACTCTTATGTGAGAAAGTATGTACAAAGATAATTAGTACAGTACTCATTGTATATAGTAAAGAACTAGAGGTAAACTAAATATCCATAATTAGGGTAGTAATGGTCACAGTACCCATAATTCCAAATTCCAGAATACTGTGAGGTAGAAATTATCCATGATCAATATATGAGTTCATCATTAACCACTTCGGTACGCTCACTGGCCGTGAAACCTTGCCTACAGCCATAGTCCACACGATTAGTTTGTGCTGTGCATTGACAACGAATCCATTTTGTTCTTATGTGATGAGGAAAGCTTTAAAGCACTGAAAGCTTGTTTTACTTTACAGGCAGCTTTACTTGTAATGTAAATCAGAATAGGTAACATATACATATATGTTTTCATTACGTTATTTTTAAATGTTCATAATTTTATTTTGATAAGTGAAAAATTAGAAAAGTCATATCATAGCTGTTGGCTAAAGTCACTGTGTGCGTTCGTCTATGGCTATTGACTATAGTTGATGCTGGTACCGAAGTGGTTAAAAAGTAAGTTGAAGAATTATATACTATAGATTTGATTTTTGTTTGAAAATGAAGGTTTACATTTTAAATATATATGTATATATACATATGTGCATACATGTATGTATATAAAATACATATACAGGTTTACATATACTTTTGTAAATACATACACACACACAAACTTATAAAAGCTTCTGTAAGTATATATAACAAAGAGTTACCAATCATCATTTCTGGGCCCAAGAGTGTTTAATCCAATTTAAATTTGTATTCTACATAGTATACTAAACAAATGCCTACTGGTTTAATACATAACCACTTTCTTAAAACTAAAAAGTGTTGCTCAATATACAGTATTAAAAAGTAGTTTAATGTATATGCTTCTCATCCTTATTTTTATCTCTATATGTTCTTTAAGCAATTTTTGTGCGTGAGGTTAACCAAAATGCTACATCTTAAATGAAACCTTCCATTCATTTTGTGCTTTTTTTCCAGTTAATGAGACCTTAAAATGTTAATTCATTCTTTTCCTTAAGCATGCTATTTAAAATCCTTTAAAAAAACAATACATTTCAAGTGCCTGTCCCAGAGCAAATTACATGAAGTGAGTGTTATTACAAAATGTCAACAGCAGATGGTGCACATTTGCTCTTCTTAAATGACCTTTGCTGTCTCTAGAAAAAGAACTACCTACCAACACATATACAAAATTGCTCTAAAACATGAACAGTGTAACAAATGAGAATTCCTAAGAACTAGCTGAAGGAAACAACAAATCCCTACCCATTTTCCTGTAAATGATGCTTTGCTGTTTTGGGATTTGGTTTCAAAATTGAGCAAAAGAAACTATCAAGATTTTTAGCAATATACTATGAAAACCAATAAAAAAATTTCTTCTTAAAGGTCAGGAAATTCCATTAAATAGAAACATGTCTGTGGTGCATACCAAGAGCCAGGTGAGTATGACAAAATTATAGCATCTAAAATGGGTGATACTGGAGAAAGATGGGAAAGGAATTGGGTTGACATACATATTCTTTTTTCTAAAGTTCATCTTTTACTAGCACCCTGAATACTGCAAAGGACTACTCTTTGTAAATAATGTTTCCCTCTTCACATCAAAACTACTTCATTAAGGAAAGGGAATTACACAAGTGGTTTCAAACATGGCTGTAATTTGAACCCAATGTGTAACTTTATTCCTTTTTAAATTTTGCTTTTCAGGCTCCATTCCTTAATTTCTAAAACAAAATCTTTGCAGTTAGAGTCAGGGGGCATCTTGAATCAGTGAATCTTTCAAAAAGTAATATTTATTCATGAATTCATAAACGTGGTTTTTAAATAAAATCTATTTAAGCTGGCCCATGCAATTATAATCAAATATTCTTTGATGTTTATCAAACATATTTTTAAAATTATGCAGTGATCAACTATATGCTAATAATTATAATGATAACTCAAGCCAGAAGTAAACATTAACACTGGAATCTTATGTTCACAGAAAATTTTGAAAATGAAATATATTTTTTGAAACTTGTTACATTCTCGTTGCAGAAGTATTATTAGTTTAGCAATAAAAGAATAAGTAATTCAAACACAGAAATATATCAAATTTTGATAAAATTCAGGGTTAGTGGAATAGAAATTTAAGTTCAAGGAAAAAAAGAATGACATATTAATAAAATTTTCCACTGCCAAATGAAGAGCTTGTTTGTGTATATTTGTAATCAATGAGGTTGGTATCATGTAGCTAAGATATTTATAGTCTAGTATATGTAAACTAATGAATAAAAAATAAATTAAAAGAATTATTTAATTGTAAAATGTTGACATCTGCAAAATGTTAGAAATTACATCTTTTTCAACTACTTAAACTTATGATGAAACAATTTAGATATAAACTTTAAAATGTGTGAGTGGGTATATAGTTTTTAAAATCTTTTTAGAATTCTTATACATCATTGACTGCTCTGCACTATGGTGAGTTTACAGAGGATAAAGGGGCTGGCTGATCTGTGCCTTAAAGTGAGGACTTCTCTTTTAATGGTTATTTCTTCAGATCACAGACACATAGTCCATAAAATCAATATTCTTTATAAAATTATAGATTCAAAAAAATTATGTGTGGAAATATTGGTTTAATGGCTATATATTACAATGAAGACTTTTTAAAAAAGTTATTCATTCTGGTAAAAGGCACAATGATTTAATTTTTAAATGCATTCATTGTTAGAACTATTTGTGAAGTACCCTTGTTTGCCAACATGGTTTTTGAAAACCTTTTCCCATGATCACCTGATATATACTATGGGAATGAATACCATTTTTGAAATGGGTCTACACAAATTTATAAGCAAGTATGACAGCCTAGTTCATAAATACATTATAGACTAATTCTAAGCCAAATTTTAATTATTTTGCATTATAATAATCTGCCTTGCAGGTTACAATAACTATCCTTTGATAGTGATAGAGTGTTTAAGTGACTTTGTAATTTATAAACTTACTGCTAATTCATCTTTTAAAACTTCATGCAATGACCTAGAAATATTTTCATTTAATCAGTAACCACCTGTCAAGTTTCATCAAACATAGTATCCTTACCCTCTGTTACATTTTGCTATTTCATCAAATAGAAGTTTCCATCGAGGACGTCCAATATAAAGTCTTGAATTCAGTGCATGGTATTTTTCTCCAATTATCTTCTGCCAAACAAAAAGCACTATATTATTCACAGATTTAGATAAATAACTCATTTCGTTAACAGCTTTTCCACTGATTTTGTGGTTTCCTACCAAATTGCTGTGATATAAAGAATATGTATCAAATGGCAACCTAGTAAGAACAATCATTTAGACATATCATTTCCTTCCTTTTTTCCTTTAAAATCCGTTATCCCCTTGAATGCCATTCCTACAAATGGCTGATTTTCCTAGACTTCACTTAGTTGCTTCATTTTTTGAAAAACTACAATGTAAGACAAAGAATGCATTTTGATTGCTCACTCTCAAAAAGGCTCAGTGCATGTATTTCATTGAAGTATTTTTGTACCACAAATATTTGTTGTCATATTTGGCTCATTATATGAATAAAATATTATAAATTGTCATCATAAATTTGGGAAAACAATTTTAGGTAAGACAGCCCAAGACAGCAGAGCTATTAATACAAACCTGGGCCTATCAACAAATGGCTATTACTGGGCTAGTGTCTGCAACTAAGAGAACATTAGAAGAGCAATATGGCTGAATAGAAACCTCCAGCGACTGACCCTCTGTATGAACTCCTAATTCAACAACTATCCACACAAGCAAGCACCTTCAGAAGAACCAAAAATCAGGTGAGTGATCATATTACTTAGCTTTAACATTATATCAAAGGAAGAGGCACTGAAGAGGGCAGAAAGACAATCTTGCATTGCCTACAAGACCACTTTCTCATTACCAGCAGTGCTGCACCAGCACGCCCAGTGGAGAGAGAATCTGTGTGCCCTGGGGAGGGACAGTGAAGTGATTATGGGGCTTTGAATTGAAACTCAGGGTCACCCTGGCACAGGGGAACACAGCACAGGGAAGATTTCTGCCAATGCCTAATGGAGAGAGAGAGAGCATTTAGACCAACACAGCCAGATGAAAAATTTCCACCCAGAAATCTGAGTTCTGGCTAGCCCCACCACCAGCTGACAAAAACTGAACTGGAGCCTGGAATAAATCTGTAAGGCAATCAAGCCACAAAGGCTTCAGGCCTTGGGTAATTCCTGTGGCTGTGCTGGCTCAGAGCCAGAGGACCTGGGATGCATATGACCCAGTGAGACACCAGCGATGGTGGCCACGCCAGTGCCTGTGTCACCACCGTCTCCTCCCACATATAGGCAGTGTGGCTCAGGGAACTTTTTCCGCTTGGGGAAAGGAAAGGGAAGAGTTCAGAGGACTTCGCTTTGCAACTTGGGTACCAACTCAGCCACAGTAAAATAAAGTCCCAAGTAGACTCCTGAAGCCATGGAGTCCAGGCCTTAGTTCCTGGATGGCATTTCTAGACCCATTCTGGCACAGAAGAAAATATGCTGCTCTTAAGGGAAAGACTCAGTCCTGACAAGATTCACAACCTGCTGATTAAACAGCCCTTGGGCTTTGAATAAACATTAGAGGTAGCCAAGAAGCAGTCACCATGGGCTTTGAGTTAGTATGGGCTGCATTCAGGTGTATCTACAATGGAGTACCCATGTCATTCCTCCGAAAACTTCAGCAGCCGAGTACAGAGAGTGAGGGAAGAGAGTGAGAGACTTTGCATGGAAATCCATGGAATTCTCCCATATCTTACCCTTCCTAGTCCACCAAGGTGGCGCCACCAGGAATCTGCAAGAATCATAGCATTACTGGGCTTGGAGCATCCCCAGTGCTAATATGGCTGCAATGACCAAAGACTTAGATTATAGCACTCAAGTCCCTTTGAATATCTAGAGCCTTCTCAAGAAGGACTAGTTCAAACTAGCCCAGACTGCCAAGATTAAAATAAAGACCTAATTCTTCAATGCCTAGACATTGACAAACATCCACAAGCATCAAGAACATCCAGGAAAACATAACCTTACCAAAAGAACTAAATAAGGGTACCAGTGACAAATCCTAGAGTGATGGAGACATGTGCCCTTTCAGAATTCAGACTAAATAGCTGTCCTGAAGAAGCTCAATGCGTTGAGACATTACAGAGAGGGGATTCAGAAGGGTAGCAGAGAAATTAAGAGAGATTGAAGTAATTTTTTTAAAAGAGCATAAATTCTGGAACTAAAAAATTCAGATGACAAACTAAGAAATGCATGAGAGTCTCTCAACATCAGAATTGATCAAGCAGAGGAAAGAATTAGTGAGCTTGATGATAGGCTATTTAAAAATATTCAGTCAGAAGAGAAAATTTAAAAAGAATAAAAAACAATAAAGCACACTTACAAGATACAGATAATAGCCCTAAGACACCAAATCTAAGATTATTGGCCTTAAATAGGAGGTAGAGAGACAGAGATTGGGATAGAAAGTTTATTCAAAAAATAATAATAGAGAATTTTCCAACCCTAGAGAAAGATATCAGCATTCAGGTATAAGAAGGTCATAGAACACTAAGCAGATTTAAACTAAACCAGACTATCTCAATAATCAAGCTCCCAACAGTCATGAGTAAATAAAACATCCCAAGGGAAGCAAGAAAAAAGATAAAAATAACAAATAAAGGAGCTCCAATATGTCTGGCAGCAGACTTCTCCATGGAAAGCTTACAGGCCAAGACAGAGCGGCATGACATTTTCAAAGTGCTGATGGAAAATAACCTTAACCCTAGAGTATTATATCCTTCAAAAATATCCTTCAAACATTCAGGATAAATAAAGACTTTTCCAGGTAAACAAAATCTGAGAGATCTCATCAACATCAGATCTTTCCTACAAGAAATGCTGAGGAGCTCTTCAATATAAAAGAAAAGTACATTAATGAACAATCAGAAATCATCTGAAGGTATAGAACACACTGGTTACAATAAGTATACATATACAGAACACACTAATGCTGCAATTGCAGTATATAAATCACTTATATCTTGAGTAGGAAGACTAAAAGACAAACCTATCAAATATAATAATTACAACAACTTTTTGAGATCTAGATAGTAAAAAAAGATATTAATGGAAACAACAAAAGATTAAACTGTGGATGAGATAGAGTTAAAGTGTAGAATTTCTTTTATATATCCTTTACTTGCTTATTTGTTTGTAAGAAGAGTTAAGTTATCATATGTTTAAAATAATTGGTTATAAAATGTTTTTTGCAAGCCCATGGTAACCTCAAATAAAAAAACCTACAACAGACACACAAAAAATAAATAGCAAGAAATTGAAACACTACCAAAGAAAGGTATTTTTAACAAAGTAATACAAAAAGGAAGAGAAAAAGAAAGAGAAGATCACAAAACAACCAGAAATCAGATAACATGACAGTAGTAAGTCTTTACGTATCAATAGTAACATTGAATGTAAATGAACTAAACTCTCCAATCAAAAGACATAAAGTGCCTGAATATATTTTTTTTAAAAAAGACCTACTTAAATGTATCTATATGTTGTCTGGAAGAAGCCCACTTCATCTATAAAGATATATATAAACTGAAAATAAAGGGATTGAAAGAGATGCAAGGATGGTTCAACATATGCAAATTAATCAATGTGATATACTGTATCAACAGAACAAAGGACAAAAACCATGTCATCATTTCAATTGATGCTGAAAAAGCCTTCCATAAAATTCAACATCTCTTCATGATAAAAATTTTCAAAAAATAAATAAATAAATAAAACTAGGTGTAGAAGGAATTTACCTCAATCTGATAAAAGCCATATGTCAGACCTATAGCTAGTACTATACTGAATGGGGAAAAACTGAAAGCCTTTCCTCTCAGATCTGGAAAAAGAAAAGTATGCCCACTATTACAAATGTTATTTAACATAGTACTAGCAGTTCTGGCTAGATCAATCAAAAAAGAGAAATAAATAAAGGGCATCCAAATTGGAATGGAAGAAGTTAATTATCCTTGTTTGCAGATGATATGATCTTATACCTAGAGAAACCTAAAGACTCCACTCAAAAACTATTAGAACTGATAAACAAATTTAGTAAAGTTTCAGGACACAAAATCAACATATAAAAATCAGTAACATTTCTCTATGCCAATAGTAAACAATCCAAAAAAGAAACCAAGAAAGAAATCCCATTTACAATAGCTACAAATAAAATAAATACCTCAGAATAAAGTTAAAGAAGTGAAAGATCTCTATAAAACTATAAATCATTGATGAAAGAAGATAAAGAGGATGCAAAAAGGGAAAGATATTCCATGCTCATGGATTGGAAGAATCAAAATTGTTAAAATGTCCATCTTACCCAAAGTAATCTAGAGATTCAATGCAATACCCATCAAAGTAACAATGACATTCTTCACAGAAATAGAAAAAATAATATTAAAATTTATATGGAACCATAAAAGAGCCAGAACAGCCAAAGCCATACTGAGCAAAAGGAACAAAACTAGAGGAATCACATCATCAGACTTCAAATTATGCTACAGAGCTGTAGTAACCAAAATAGTGTGATGTTGGCATGAAAACAGACACATAGATCAATGGAACAGAATAGAGAACCCAGAAATAAATCCACACATCTATAATGAACTTATCTTTGACAAAGTTGCCAAGAGCATACAATGGGCAAAGGACAGTCTCTTCAATAAATGGTGCTGGGAAAACTGGATATTCATACACAGAATAATGAAACTAGAACTTTATCTCTTGCAATACACAAAAATAAAATCAAAATGGATTAATGACTTAAATCTAAGACCTGAAACTATGAAACTACTAAGAGAAAAACATTGGAGAAATGCTTTAGGACATTTGTCTGGTCAAGGACTTCTTGAGTAATACTAATAAAACAGGAAATCAAAGCAAAATTGGACAAATGGGATCACATCAACTAAAAAGCTTCTGCACAGGAAGCAAAAAAATCAATAAAGAGACAACCCACATGGGTCGAAAATATTTGCAAACTACCTATCTGACAAGGGATTAATAACTAGAATATGTAAGGAGCTCTGACAACTTGATAAGAAAAAATGAAATAACCTGATAAAAATGAGCAAAGGATTTTAATAGATATTTCTCAAAAGAAGACATACAAATGGCCAACAGATAATATGAAAAAAGGGTGAACATCATTAGTTATTAGAGAAATGTAGATCAAAACTACAATGAGGTATCATATCACCCCAGTTAAAATGGCTTTTATCAAAAAGAAAGACAGGCAATAATGAATGCTGGCAAGAATGTGGAGAATGGGGAACCCTTGTACACTATTGGTGGGAATGTAAATGAGTACAACCACTATGGAAAACAATATCACAGTATGGAGATTCCTCAAAAGATTAAAAATAGAACTACCATATATATGACCCAGCAATCCCACTGCTGGATATATACGCAAAGGATATGAATTCAGTATGTTGCAAAGATATCTATACCTCCATCTTTATCACAGCACTATTGACAATAGCCAAGATATGGTATCAACCTCAGAGCCCACCAACAAATGAATGATAAAGAAATGATGCTACATATACACAATGGAATAATATATAGCAAGCGAAAGAATGAAATCCTGCCATTTGCAACAACACAGATGAACTGGAGAACATTATGTTCAGTGAAATAAGCCAAGCACGGAAAGATGAATTTCACAGGTTCTCATTCATATGTGGGAGCTAAATATTAAAAAAAAAGTTGCTCTCATGGAGTCAGAGGGTAGAATAGTGGTTACCAAAGGCTAGGAAGGGTAGTGGGGAGGGAGGATAAAGTGGGGATGGTTAATGGGTGAAAAAATATAGTTAGATAGTTTAGATAGAATGAACAATATTTGAATTTTGAAAAAAAAATAGAACATTAGATCATTAGATCTGAATTAATGGAGAAGAGTCAGACTGAAGTGAGAAGAGAGAACAAAGTGTCCAAGTCCCAGGCAGAAAAACTGAGAGCCAAATGTAAATTATGTTCCATATCTTAATTACAGGAATATCATGAGGAAAAATGATAGTGACTTGCTTCGTGAGAGTAGTAAACTTTAATCTTTTTTTACTTACCAAGTAGGGTAGAAATCTGACTAAAAAAACAGGGTTAGATTAGTTCTGAGGTAACTGATAAGCATTCATATTTTGTATTAATAGTCAAAATATTGTGAAAATGTATGATGGAAAATAATAAATTTAAATGTGCAAAATCATTCACACCCAGATTTATACACCTATACAGTTCTTAGATGTTGTCTCTAAATATTCGTTTCTTCATTCACAAAACAGGGATACTAATATTATCTACTTCTCAAATCTGTTGGAATTATATGAGACAATGTATGTGAAAGTCTTGACACAGTGCCTAGCACAATAAATAAACAATTTAGTTTCCCTTGGAGGGAAAGAAGCTGAGTTGTATAAGAACTCATCTCTCTCCACATAAAACCTCCCTTTGATGTAAAAAAATATCACAAGGCTGTTCATGTGTAGCCTGATATTTTAGAGGCAGAGAATTTGAGGCCATAGGGAAAAGGAGAAGGATGGACTTAAAAGGTCTGCTCCAGTCCCTGTGAGAAGGACAAATGAAAGGCATGACATGGTTGACTTCAAGGATAAGCCATGACTTTTCTGGACATGTTCCAAAAGAGGCCTTCCTCTAGGAAACTTCTGTTTAAACCACCTGCAGAATCTTTTTTTTTTTCCAGCACAGTTTCCAGAGTAAATCTTCCATTATCAAGAGGCGTGTTTAATTTACAATAACATCCAACCACATACCTGTATCCCATCTGTTTGACTGAGGTACAGCTGGATGTTGACGTAGTCAGGTCTGTTCTCGTGCCACAACTGGAGAGGACATAAACACGAATAGATTTACTAAATTTCTTTCTGCCTCAAAGTTTTCTGACTTGAGGAAAAAACAAAAAATTCTTTCTGTATACTTAGATTTTCTAACATATGTGATTCTGGAATTTAACACATATCTTGGCTTAAGACAGTCAATATCTATAAGCAAATGAATACACACATATATACACACATACACACACATATAATGACAGATTCTACCATTAATAACCTCCCCTACTAGCATAAATTAAGTATGATGTTGGTGGTGGAAAGGAATAATTCTGTGTTATCTTTATATATACAAAATCTAGCATGCTAAATACTATACTAAACTAATATTCCCCTAAGCCCTCCCCAAATATTCTTTATTTTATTCCCTAAGAGTCCCTAAATTTTACCTAGGAGTTTATTCATAATGAACATAATTTTTTTAAATGACAATAGTGACATAGGCTATGCATGCTAGGAAATGCAAAACAAAAGAAATAACAAAAACACAATAGACACTTTTTCTTGTTCCTGCCTTGCTCTTACTAAGCACTAGTTTCCCTTGTATAAAAATGTATGTGGCAAGAAATATATCTGCAAAATAAATAGTCTGGAAAAAATATGAAGCAATAATTCCTCATTTCCCCCTTCCCCCCAAGCTCTTGCAACCATCATTCTACTTTCTAAGCACCTTTCACTTCTCACAACAATCAACTCGTGGTGAATAACTGACTTAAACCTAAGGCATGAAACTGTAACAATTCTAGAAGAAAATGTTGGAAAAACTCTTACAGACATTGGCCTAGGCAAAGAATTTATGAAGAAGACCCCAAAGGCAATCACAGCAACAACAAAAATAAATACATGAGACCTGATCAAATTAAAAAGTTTCTGCACAGCCAAGGAAACTATCACGAGAGCAAACAGACAACCTCAAATTGGAAGAAAATATCCACATGTTACACATCTGATAAAGGGCTGATAACTAGAATCTATATAGAACTCAGGAAAATCAGCAAGAAAAAATCAAACAACCCCATTAAAAAGTAGGCAAAGGACACGAACAGAAACTTTTCAAAAGAAGACAGACTAATGGTCAACAAACATGAAAAAATGCTCAACATCTCTAATCACCAGGGAAATGCAAATCAAAACCACAGTATCACTTATCTCTAGTGAGAATGGCCTTTATCAAAAAGTCCCAAAACAATAAATGTTGGTGTGGATGTACAAAGACAGAAACATTCATACACTGCTGGTGAGACTGCAAATTAGTACAACCTCTGTGGAAGGAACTATGGAGATACCTCAAAGAGCTACAAGTAGAGCTACCATTTGATGCAGCAATCCCATTACTGGGCATCTACCCAAAAGAACATAAGACATTGTATAAAAAAGACATCTGCACTCAAATGTTTATAGTAGCACAATTCACAATTGCAAAGATGTGGAAACAACCCAAGTGTCCATCAATACATAAGTGGATTAATAAATGTGGTATATGTATACCATGGAGTTCTACTCAGCCACTAAAAACAATGGTGATCTAGCACCTCTTGTATTTTCCTGGATAGAGCTGCAGCCCATTCTACTAAGTGAAGTATCACAAGAATGGAAAAACATGCACCGCATGTACTCACCATCAAATTGGTATTAACTGATCAACACTTATATGCACATATAGTAGTAACATTCATTGGATGTCGGGCAGGTGAGGGGGGGAGGATGGAACGGGTACATTCACACCTAATGGGTGCAGTGCGCACCGTCTGGGGGCTGGACACACTTGAAGCTCTGACTCAGATACAGCAAAGGCAATGTATGTAACCTAAACATTTGTACCTCCATAATAGGCTGAAATTTTAAAAATTCAAAAAAAAACCAAACTGTCTAATTTTTAAAGTATCCCCTATGAATGGAGTCATACAATATTTGTCCTTTTGTGTCTGGCTTATTTCACTTAGCATAATTTCTTAAAGTTTTGCCCATGTTGTAGCATGTCGAATTTTCTTCCTTTTAAGGCTGAATAGTATTCCATTTCATGTGTATGCCACATTTTGTTTATCCACTCATCTACTGGTGAATAATTTGGGTTGTTTCCATCTTTTGGCTATTGTGAATAATGCTTCTATGAACATTGGTGTACAAATATTTGTTTGATTCCCTGCTTTCAATTATTCTAGGTATATACCTAGAACCATTTTTTTTTTTGCATAAAGTCCACGGCCTTATGTAATCTACCTCTTCCTAGAAATCACCCATGCCACCTAATTGCCTCTGCTACCATTCTTTCTCCTGCTTACTTTGCTCCATCCACACAGACCTCCTTCCTCTTCTTCCAACACACCAAGCATACTATTGCATCGGGGTCCTTGATTGTGAAGTTAGGTTCTTCCTCTTTGAAATTTTTATCCAAAATACATGTCTAGTCTGCTCATTCACTTTACTCGAGTCTCTTTTGAGTAAAGAGAGTCTCTTTTGCTTCACCCTTCCTTTCCTCTTCTTTGTTCTCAATGGAATCTCATAATCAGACATCCTATGTATCTATTGGTTTGTTGTCTATTTCCCCCACTTAAAATATAAACTACATGAAATCAGAAATTTGTTTTTATTTTGTTACCTGATGCATCTCCAGCTCCTAGGACAATTCCTGAATGATAGTGGGCAGTTAATAAACATTTGTGGAATGACGGAATGACTGACTGAATAAATACATGCACAAAGAGGCATGTATAATAATATCCATTTCAGCATTGTTTGTAATAAAAATTAAGTATCAGACATCAAGGAATTGTTAAATAAACTAAATGCATCAATGTCATGAAATACTCTACAGCAATAAAAACAATGAGGTAGCTCTATATGTACTCATACCAAAAAATATTCAAGATATAGCAGTAACTTTAAAAAGTAGGTTTAAAAATTGCCAAACATTATAGATAGTATGATAGAATTTACAGAACACTCATAAATTACCACTGGTTACATAGCCTGGGTAGGGAAGGTAGTAAGAAACAATTTTACTTTGTGTGAATTGTTTAAAATATTTGTAGCAAAAATATACTTGAATATTACTTGTATAATTTGAATAAATAAATATAAATAAATAGAAGAATAAAATGTTACAGGTAAGACAGCTAAAAAAAATCTGCTTTTATCTTTGTAAAAATTAAAATACAGAATTTGGAATTTTTGAGATTCTGCATCATTTACCAAGAAGTCTGGTGATGGTCTATTTGAAATATTAAAGAGGGAGATAAGGGATAAGTGCTATGAGAACAAAGGATAGAAGGTATTGTAGCAAGTGTCTGCCAATGTTTCCTTCTGTCATCCCTCACCACCTCAAGCCGTATGTATACATTTCTATGTTAAAAATCCTATGTTAAAACATGGAAATTGGCTAGGCATGGTGGCTCACGCCCGTAATCCTAGTACTCTGGGAGGCCGAGGTGAGTGGATTGCTCAAGGTCAGGAGTTCAAACCCAGCCTGAGCAAGACCAAAACCCTCTCTCTACTAAAAATAGAAAGAAATTAATTGGCCAATTAAAAACATATATACAAAAAATTAGCCAAGCATGGTGGCGCATGCCTGTAGTCCCAGCTACTTGGGAGGCTGAGGCAGAAGGATCGCTTGAGCTCAGCAGTTTGAGGTTGCTGTGAGCTAGGCTGATGCCACAGCACTCTAGCCCAGGCAACAGAGTGAGACCCTGTCTCAAAAAAAAAAAAACCATAGAAATTAATGTTTTTATGTTAAAACATGTCATTGATATATATGCATTATCACAAATATCCATATCTGAAAAGATGTGTACCTAATTGTTAATAGATGTTATTTCTGGTTTTTTTTTTTTTTAGGTTTAAAGGACTTATTTCTTTTCTTGATACTTATCTGTATAATTTCCATATGCAAAAAAAGTATATTATTGCTATGCTATTATTCTATAGCAAGCATTTATTGCTTGTATAATATGAAAGAAGACAGCTTTTTAACTTAAAAAAATTACAAAACTAATAACAATCTCAATGTTACCTTGTTATGCAACATACAGAGTAAGTCTGCAAACCAACAGAAGGATTGGATGTCTCTGCACACCCAGATAAAGTACAGTTCTAGCTGTATGTCAGTGGTGTTCCCGTAGTTATCCCTTTAATATGTTGATATATATTTTGTTATTTTTTTTTATGGTAGTGTATGTGTATGTATGTCAAAGGAAGAAGGATAGTAAGGTTATGTAAGGAAGGTATATGTATATGTTGTATATGGAAGGAAGAAGATTTTGTGAGGAAGGATATGTGTATGTGATATTAGTGTAAGGAAGGTATAGGTTATATGTGATTTAATGTGTATTATGTGAGGGAAGGGGAGGGAAACGATATATATATAATGTATGTATCTATATATATTATATCAAAAGAAGGAAAGTGTTATAATATTGTATTGTATATCCCCTGTGTCTGTATATATTTTTTTTTTTATACTTCTATATTGTAAATCACATATTTAAATTCTATGATGATACTCAGATTTCAATATTATAACTCCTCAATAGAAATTTAATTTAGTGAATTATTCTGACTATAATTATTGATTATTTCTATGAATTAAGTTTATGGTATTCTATTTTTTTCATCTCATAAATATGCACATCATCTGTATCCAGTTGAGGGCCATCACTGAACTCCTAGATCAAAATAATTTTGGCCCCTGCATCTCAGAAAAACAAGTTCTCTATTTTCAGTGAATTCTATCACCAAACAGGGTCCAAAGGTCATTTGGTATTGCCTTTTCAGGCAAAATGAGCAAAAACCATTCCAAAAATTTGGTTGTTTATCCCCTTCTTAATAATCACTAAAGAAAGAGATTTCACAACCATGTACGATGTAATGCATTCCAGCAACTCATAGTTCCAAGTCTGGATCCCTATTTGTAACTATGAAGTAGACTTAAGATTAAGAAAATGTTCTTCTTTTTTCATAACATTAGGTGTCCTAATAAATTGCAATGTGTTGTCAGAAACAAATGATTTCTGGCTTGGAATATGGTTATTTTTGTAAGAACCTCTAGAATGTCCCAAATTGACATCTAGTATTTAAAAGTGAAATAAAATGTCATTCAAACACATCACTTTAACTTATTATTTCTTTTTCACAATCCACAGAACAGTTTTAATTAAATTGTGTCAACTTGAAAAGTAAATGAAACAGATTTGACAGTAACTTCCATTTTGTTTGTGTTTGCACAAGAATTAATAGCAATCAGTTAACTTTGGCTAATAATCTGGGAACTAAAATAACTGAAAGACTATTTCCTGGTTAAGCAATCTCACCTTTGAAATTTCTTTTCTTCAGTCTGTTGTGAATTTGCTAAGTAATAAACCAACAAATGATATGTTTGTCATCTTCTCGAAAAAAGCTTTTCCTGATCATATTTCAACAATAACCCCAGCTCTTTATTTCTGTATCTCATTAATCTGTCTTCATTTCTGTATCTCATTAATCTGTCTTCTTTTCATCATGGTTGTAATATTTTCTGAAATAATTTTATTTATAAATTTCTCATTGCTTGATTTTTTACCTGCCCCACTTGAATGTAAGCTTTTTAAAAGCAAGAACTCTGTTTTCATTCATCACTGTGGTCCCATTACCTATAAGACAGATTTGCACGTGGATGCTCAAAAATATTTGTTGACGGAGAATGAATGAATGAATAGTGAATGAATAGTGCCACTTACCACTGATGAGGAGGTAAAGAAATGAAGGGTGGCAGCGAATAACTTAACATAGGAAAAGGACAGGGGTATGCATAACTGTGGTACTGACATATTTTTATAAGAGAGCATGTTAGGAGCCGGAAACCACATGCTGAGGATCACTGAATTATTCCCCTCATCAATCAGTAAATGGAATTCTTTGAACAACAAGTAGAAGAATTCTGTAAGGAATTACGCTAAAAAGAGAGATGTCTGAAATATTGGCAGTTCTCTATTTGGACTAATAAAATGGATCAAAATGACGTACAGCAGGGTGTTGAGTATTGATGCAAATGGGGTTACTCCAATGCCTCCAGCCACGCAGAGGCTAACCTCATAGTTTAGTGATTCCTCAAACGGACTTCCAAACGGGCCATCGATGTACAGCCTGTAGAGAAGGCAGACAAAGGCAGGAAAAGTAAAAATGCGTTCCTTTTCTATAACATGTAGCAAACATGCTGAATATAATTTCTAGGCTTTGTGATGGCTCAGGCTTTATTTCATTGTTTCTCGCAGTGATAAGCCCAGAGGAATGTTATTTATAAACTGTCAATATTAAAGTACATCTGTTTCTAAGTATGTCTTTTTTGTGTGAAGCATTAATTAAAAGTATAAAGAAATGTAAATAGGACCATGCCACATAGCTAAGAACAAATTAAAGCTCTGGTAATATTATATTAATAGTATTATATTTGACTAAATTAAAATACCATTGGCTGTATATAAATTCAATAAATAATGCTCCCTTCAATGGCCAGTTTAGTAGCTGAAATATTTACTTAAACATTTACTATGTGAACAGAAAAATAACAGGAGTAAGAAAAAGAATCTAACACTATTCCTCCTCTTGCCCTACTTAAGTTCATTAAGCACAAAAACAGCTGAAGAACATTCACAAAGGAAGCTCTGCTTGTTCTACTCGTGCCTATATACTCAAATATATGTGTGGATGTGAGAAAGAGAAATCCTTAACTGCAACAAAAATTGCTAACTGTTCACTCAATATTCATCTTTCTTTATCCATTACTCTATACCCATTCTTTCTTAAACAACAAGACGTTGATGTTATTCAGGGAAGCAAAATGTCCAGCCAAAATGCTCCATTTCTCAGACTCCCTGCATCTATTAATATTTTGGCTGTGTGACTACGTTCTGGCCACTGGCCCCTCTTTCCTACTGGTTGGCTTTCCGACCCACACACCCCCACACACACCCTTCCAAGAATGCCCACAAAGCTATTCTTTGGTGTTCTGAAATAACTTTGGACAAGAATACTAAAACACAGAGTTCTAGTCATTTATTAGGGGGCAGATCACAGGCTAGTTCCTTGTCCTCTCTACAGATTTCCTTCATCTGTAAAGGGGTCAACAAGATGTGATGATACAGAAAAATTAATGGTGGAGGGCCACACAAATATCACAAATGCTTTTTGTCAGTGGCGCCAGTGAGTGTCTACAGCACACCGCCAGGCTGTCTCAGAGGGTAGCATCAATGCAAGCAATGGGCTGAGTTCAGAATGAGATGGGACGTGTAGAGGGGAATTTGGTTTGAGAATCAGCTGTTAGAGAATCAGCTGTTTTTCATTTGAAATGCTTTGTTGCACCAGGTGAGACAAAATTTTGCTTTTCTTAGAGAAAGGATAAAGATGAAATTACTAGTAATTGATTACTTGGCAACATCTCTTTTTTGAGGAAGACAAAGAGAAACTGCTTAAATTATTTTTTTACATATTTAATCTGATTAATGTGCAAAATAAATTGCCTTTCATTTATGAGTAGTGACTTTCTCCCTATCTTAGTACAAGGTCTTTGAAAGAATGTTATGTTACTATTACATGTGACAAGATTACAGAAATTAAAGGCAACTATTCAAAGTCTTTGAACAATGTAGTGGAGATAAGATCAACTTGACACATTTTTAAGCTTCAGTTGATGACTAATGAAAAGATCCTTTATGAAAGACTGTGGATCTAAGAGAGTTCTAAGAATAAGAGAGATCCCTTTCCCTGACCCACCCCCAACAATTTTTTTTGAAATTTTAATAATTTTTTTCCCTTGAGGGAATTTATTAACATTTTATAAAATTGATTTGTTTTAAGACTGAAGAGTTGATAGAACAGTTATATCAGATATCCTTCTTTCAATGGAGATATTTATCAGTTACAAATTAATTCAACTGTATTAAAGATAAAAATATACTGATGATTTTTGAAATCTTGTATACCTCCAAACACACTGATAGCATAATAAATTAAAATACAATTTATTTAGAGAATCTGAGGGGAAAGCTAATCACTGTTTTCAGAAAACATCTTTATTAATTTTTTTAAAAAATAGATATTAATTATACCAGTAATTCCCAAAAGCAATCTCACAGAACAATAATACAAGAGGGAAAAAAGTATATTATGGTAAAATAAATTTGGGAAATGTGTTAAACAAAGTTTCTTTTAAAATTTGTTTATTTTTACATTTTAATGCAAACTCCTAAGTTTGGGGTAGTATGGTAGTAATAATACATACACTTAGGATGCATTAAATGCATTTTCCACTTCTAGTATTTTCAGTTTCTAATGGGTTTATTGGGACTTACCACTATGGTAAGTGGAGGAGCATCTGTATAACGATAAGGGTAGTCTCTTAACATTTGAGTTAAGACTTGGTAGGAGGTGGTAGTCCACATTGTTTGGACTTTAGCAACAATTTAAGGAAAGAAACTTCACCAGCAAGGGGCTAAGAAATCTCATTAATTAATTTGTAATTATTATCTAATGCAATCTCATGTATAAAATAAAAGCAACATTGTCTGAAAACCCACTTTAAATGTTTATCTGTTGGAATTCTGAATTATTCCATCAAGGCCTTACAAACAGAAGCCATTAATTAATTTAGGATCTTCAAAAAGAAAAACTCTTTGGCAAGGAATTCCCATAAAAGAATCACATGATCAAAATTATACTCCCACAACCATTATGAATTGGTAAATTTTACAATATTTTTAACAAATGAAGAACTTCAGGCCACTTTCTCTTCCTAATTAAAGAAAAAAAACAAAACAAACAAAAAAATCCCCAAAACAGAGTCTGAGAAGATGCATGACAGCTGAGAATGCAGGATGGGCAATGAGATAAGTAAATGGCTCTCAAAGGCTTTCGATGGAGAATCATGAGTGCTTAATTTATCTCCTAGGAAGCGCCTACTTCCCCATCTTGTTCTGAGATTTCAACTGCCTAATAACCTCCAGCTATAGACTCAGCTTGGCCCTATCCTTGAACTGATTCTTATCTGAGTTAAGAATGAGTTATTCTCTCACTCAGCATGAAGGCATCCTTATTGCTTGCCCATTAGCACTAACAGAGCTTTTTGACCTTGTAACTCTGAGCCAAAATCTTCACAATTTCAGCAGTGCCTCAGTTTCTGTTTAACTGTTTGTATTTTTCAGTGGTTCCACCTAGCTTTTACATAGTCCTGATGACAGGGTTTTTACTTGTGATTTTCAGCCCGGAGGTTGGGACCTGCTACCTGATTACAGCCAGCTTCCTTCTGACGTCTTGCTTACCTAGTTTTGCAAATATCATTAGCATTAGGAATTCACATTATGATAATACATTCCACATTCTGTTCGGAATACTACCTTTTTTAGATCTCTTGCCAGCCAGGTATTGGAATTTCACCTACTATACAAAAGAAAGTCTAAGTTTAGGGATGAGATGAGAGATAGTAATCCTTCAATGAAGGGCAATATTATAATATTATCTATACTGTGAAAATGTTATGAATAATTGTGATTGTGGAAACTGTACTAGAACAGCCCCAGCCACACATGGGAAGACACACAATTAGAAAGGTCTCCTTCCTGATGAATCATCCTCCACACTGATCCTATCATCCAGAGCCATCTTTGTCTGAACAACATAACATATCCCTTCTGGCAGCATCTCGACCCAAGTGAAGACACTAAAGCAGTCCACATCATACAGCCTTCCCCACTGCACCGAGCTAAGCCATACTTTTGAGAAATGGCAGAACAGAGCTGACAGTGAGAACGGTAATGAGGATTCACTTTTGCAAAAGGCCAGGTGCTTTATATCATTTTATTTAAATATCACAAAGCCTTACAAGATAGAATTATTAATATGTCAGGTGTTGTATATTCCTCAAAGCAATATTAAAAAGGAAGGTATCTCCATTATCACCATTTGAAATATAAAACAAAAAAATAAAAATGAAGCTGCTCAGAGAGACTGCCACTCATCCCCAATCATGAGGACTATAAACTCAGAATGTGCCCCGAGTGAAAAAGCTTAAAGTCACCCAAAGATCCCTCCTTCTCCATCTCCCTCCTGCTCCCTCTCCCTCTCGCACATTCTGTTGTTTGTGTCACCGAACACCCTCAGACATCTATCTGATTTTCCATGTTACTATTATGACAGCATAGATCCTTTATCGCTTTCCAGCTGAATATGAAACTGCTGATTGGCTAGTATGTTGGCCCCAGGTGGTGCCTCGTGTCCCTCTCTGCTTCCATGAGAAAGATATGAACATGTAAATCTAATTATCTTTCTCCTTTGCTTAAAATCCTTTCATGGCTCTCCACTATCTTCACAACAAAGTCTAAGTTTCTTTAAGTGACAGTCCAGGCCCTTCACAAACTGGCCCCTGCCCTCACTTCTCTTTAAACTCCCACCCCTTGAGAGTGTGCATGTGCACTTGTACACGCACGCACACGTGTGCCATACACACACACACACACAGTTTTCAGCCACCTGGAGGCCATCCCTCAATGACCCATCCACTTCCATTGCTCCATATTGCTGCTATGCTCTTTGTTCTGTCTAACAGTCCTCTTCATCTGGTCTAGTTCATTCATCAAGATTTTTACTCAAGTGAAAAATTGAACTTTTTATGAATTACCTAGATAGGCACTTTCTCTCCTCCCATAGAATTTAGTGCATTTCTCTATGTATGGGTCTTATCACATTGCCACAATTTCTTCACTAAACTCTGATTCTGCTTTTCCCCCACCGGAAATTATTTTTGTAGTCTCACTAATTGTGATTGCTTCTGGTGCATGGTAAGTACTGAATACATATTTGATGAATGGATGAATGGAAGTATGGATGGATAAATGCGTGAGAGGCAGTATAACAGAGTTAACCATAATTTGGGGGCCAAACAGATGTGGCTTTGACACCCAGCTCTAACATATATCTTTAAATAAGGCATTCACTTCTTTGAATCCCAGTCCTCTAATCTGTAAAACTGGGGAATTTGCACTACCCATTTCACAGAAGACTGGTAAGCATTGAGTGAAATGATGTATGTAAAGCACGTAGCACAATTCCCAGCATGTACAAAGTATTCAGTATGTGTTACTATTTCTTTACTA